TTGCAGTTAGAATCAATTAGAACTAACAATATAACCATTAGAGCTAACAGTGCATTGATTAGAACTGACATTATAGCTATTAGAACTAACAATATAGCCATTAGGACTAACAAGACATAGATTAGAACTAACAATATAACCATTAGGACTAACAATATAACCATTAGGACTAATAAGACATAGATCAGAACTAACAACCTTTGCAGCACTTGCAGCATATGGAACTGGAGTAGAACTACCAATAAATCTAGTAGAACTAACAAAATAGTGATTAGAACTGACAAAGAAACCATTAGAAGTCTAGTATGGGGCATAACAAAGAACCGCTTAACGATAAGATGCGATCGAATTAGAACTGTTGTTCGGGATTAGGCATATTACAACTAACAGAACTAACAGAAGACGAGATTACAACTAACATAAGATACGATCGAATTAGAACTAAAAGAACCCAAAGATTACAAGCTAACATATCGATCGAATTAGAACTGAAGTCCATATCTAAACCTAGAAATAGACGCTAACAAGAAAGACGATTAGAACTGAAGTCCATCTAAACCTAAGAATAGGACCTATACAAGAAGACGATTAGAACTAAAGTTAAATTGATTGTTACAGTAACTTACATTCTTGTCGGACTTGCTCGTTTCTTGTTTATTCGACAGAATCATCTCCTTCTTTAAAACTTGAATGTGAACTCTTTCAGTCCAGAGATTGTGGCAGATGCTCCACCATAGACGTCAAGATCACCATCCGTTTCTGCAATGGAAATTTTTACGCTTCCAATCGTTCATCTTCGTATTAAAATTAATGATTCATATGGCACAGATCTAACATCTCTGTACATCAAACTTGAGTCCAAGATGGTGGTTGAAAGAATAATCTTCAAGAAACGCTTTTAATAGGCCAGCGAAAGAGACAATGCAGATGAGGCGTCACTTTTCGCAGCCATTTTGGGAAGGGCACTATAGAGAGTAGTGAAGAGAGTAATGAGAGAATTTTGGCTGAGGAGGAGTATGAGAACTAAATAGTTTTATTGGGCTCATGATGGAGTAAAAGAAGGGGGAAAAATTTTCCTCCATTTTTTTCAATCATAAGGCGATGCGCATTAATGAGAAGTGACTTCTGTTGTTCGGGCTAGGGCTCTCGTCTGGGGAAGAGAAGAGACATTGGCAGTTTCGGTTTTTTTCCAAAATACATTCTGGGCTTTTTGGTGATAAAGCTGACGTGGGAGAGCGGCAAGCACTGGGGCTTAACAAACATTAAGAGATCATATTTTTGGGGTTATACACAGTGGACAAGTATGATAGAGGGTAGTCACACGAAGTTCCCAACTTTTAGGGCATGGACGCATTTCCCCCTTTTTCCTAAGAAGGGAATAAGAAATCCAAATTATTTAACCACCCGCCACCCTCCCACCATTATGATTGACGGAAGCCCTTCCTCATCAGCGAAGAGCAGGAATTAGGACTCGACTTTGTCAAACGGTGGGACCGCCCTCCTCCCCCGATTCACTATATATAGACCGTGACCCGCTCCACCGCAAGAGCTCCCCCACACCGGACCGCCCCGACACGCCAACAGCGGCCAGCGCGCACAACACCAGCGCAGATGACGTCATCACAGCATCGGTTCCCGGATCAGGCTGGGCTCCCAGGAGGCTGGAGGTCTCGGCCCAGACGGCTCGGGTGCATGGCATGTCGCCTTCTACGGGCCCAAACCGAAGCCCAGAGCTCCGGAGACATGATCGACTGATCCGCTTCGCCCGTCGTACTCCGCGTCACGTCCTCGGACATCCCTCCGGACGTTACCCGGCCCTTCACCTAAAGATGGTAGTGAGGAACGAACTCCTCCATCACGAAAGGTTTATAAATCAATTTTTTTAAAAGAAAAAAGAAGCTCCATCGGTTCTTTTCGAGATCTCGATATTTTCGTGAACTGGACTGTATAAATGTATCGATTTAGTTCAATTTAATTGAGCCTTACCAGTTTAATTTGAATCGGTGGTGTTTAATCAAGGCTTTGAAGGGGGGAGTGAGGGGGAGGGTGGAGCTGGCGACCAAGTTCGGGGTAAAAATGGAGGGGTACGCGATGGAGGGGGGCGCGACGGAGGTGCGAGGAGATCCCGCGTACGTGAGGGCTTCTTGCGAGGCGAGCTTGAAGAGGCTGGACGTCGACTGCATTGATCTCTACTACCAGCATCGCGTCGACACCCGAGTCCCCATCGAGATCACCGTGAGTTTCCCATTTGTTTGGTTGCTCCTCCTCTTAGTCTAGTTTTATCCTCGATTAATGCCCAAGGACCCAAAATATGGGACCAAGGAGTGGGACATGTGATGTGTCCCTCCCCTATTGGATAATGAGTTGGTCATGCACCCTCATTATCTAATAGGGGAGGGACACGTCACCTGTCTCATCCCTTGGTCCCATATTTTGGATCCCTGTAGCAGTGCTCTTTATCCTCTTACATTCGGTACTTGCATATTGCTGTCAAATGTCCCTGCTGAAACTCTGAAGTTGTGGTAAGCGCGTCGAGAGTTTTATATCCTTTAACACGCTCCCTCGGGTGAGAGCCATTTTTATTGGTCGAATTATCTCGACTCATGTGGCAATATCAATTTGTTTTTTTTAATTTTATTTAATGTCCATATTAAATTGGTGACGGGCCGAAATTGAACCCGAGGAGCTCTGATACCATCTAAAAGGATCCTATCCTTACGCCAAATATCCAAAGTAGCGGTGATGATTGAGGGTTATAGTTTTATACGCTAACAATAGAAATCTATTACTATTATTTAAGGAAAGCTCTTTTTTGGTGTTCTACCCTTATGTTAGTCACCCTTTGAAAATATTCCAATCATATCCCAAAAATTATACACATGACTTCCCATGATTTAGAACTTGGTAGAGAGACCAGTTTGAAAACCATTACAGCAATCTAATTCATAATTACCTCCCTATTTAGTGGTAACAAATTAAATCGGTTAGAAGAAAAATTGCTATAATGTGCTCTTTTTAGAAGAGTATTGTCTTAAACCTTTTCTTTCTACATTTCCCCTTCCCGTGTTTCCTTAAGTCTGTCGTTGATAAATGTAATCCACATCTGACAAATTGATTACTATCGAAATCTGAAGGTTTCTTGTTACATGTATAGAAGATAGATTTATGTTCTTTATACTATAGTATTCTCATGTTATTTTTTACATTATCAGATGGGAGAACTTAAGAAACTGGTTGAAGAGGGCAAAATAAAATACGTAGGATTATCTGAGGCCTCGGCATCAACAATCAGGAGGGCACATGCTGTTCACCCTATAACTGCTGTCCAGCTCGAATGGTCGCTATGGTCAAGGGACGTGGAAGACGACATAATCCCAACTTGTAGGTAATTAAGAGCTCTCATCTCTCTGACAAATTTAATCATTTATATTCATTTAAGAAATCAATCGCATGAGTTTTCACCATTTATGTAATTTTCAGAGAGCTCGGAATAGGAATTGTGGCATACAGTCCTTTGGGGAGGGGCTTCCTATCTTCTGGACCTAAGTTGGTCGAAAATCTAGCAGACGGGGATTTCAGAAAGGTATGTGTATTCCAAAAAGCTTATGAACTATTTTAACTACTCGGGTCTCATGCAGTAAGATGTGCTCTTGATAGTGAAATCAAAAGAACCAGATATAACTTTACTAGAATCGATGTCTTTCGAGCTGCTAATTGCTGTCAACTGAACCACGGACTTCTGATTAGTCGTGTATCAACTTAGCCATGTTCTTTTACAACCTAATTAGAAAGCCAAGTAACTTGACCGGCATGTTTGAGGTGATCACTTTGAGGAGTGTCGCCTCCCCCTTCGTGCTTGCTTGGCCAGCTTACTATGGGCTTACCAAGGTTGATACAAACTGATGCACTCATTTGTGACTTGATGGGTAACTTCTGTCAAATACTAATGCATAGATTAAATTCACCAGCAATTCTTTATAAAAATGCATCTATAACTGTTTAAGTTCCTTTTAAAGTACATTTCTAGGCTCATTTCACATTTGTCATTCTGCCACACAAAAAAACTTACTATATATAATCGAGGAAAACGGGAGATATCATGGGAATGACACTCCTAGTTTCTCATACATGACCTTACTATGTGACAAACAAACTATTCCTATTGAAGGCGGTAAATTTGAAATTCTTAAACAGTTGGAACAATTGTTGTGGTTTTTTTAAAGAGGCATAGATGCATCCGCTAAGCTTGGGGTCTTGAGATCATGGCTCTGATAAAAGTGACCGTCTTATTTCTCATAATATGGAAGAATACAGGGTCTACGTATTTAGTCGATATCTCAATGAATACATAGACCGTATAATTCTAACTGTTCCCAAAACTAATAATGGACTTTTATTTGCCAGTACTTGCCGAGATTACAGCCAGGGAATTTGGAGCAGAATATTACATTATTTGAAAGAGTTAGTGAGATGGCTTCAAGAAAAGGATGCACCCCTTCTCAACTAGCATTAGCCTGGGTTCACCACCAAGGAAATTATGTTTGCCCTATACCTGGAACTACTAAGATCGAGAACTTGAAACAAAACATAGGAGCACTCTCTGTTAAGCTGACAAAGGAAGAAATGGTACAGCTCGAATCTTTTGCTTCTGCTGATGCTGTTAAAGGCGATAGGTATCCTGCAATGGTTCAGACTTGGAAGGATTCAGAGACCCCACCTCTTTCTTCATGGAAAAGTGAATAGAAAGTATTGCCTTCTAGTTTTCTATATCAAAGCTTGCATCCTGTTAGTTAGTAATAAGGCAGCACTAAGATTGTTGAGCCCTACTTTGCATGTGGTGTTGAATCAGAGTTGTGTATGAATTGTCAGAACTATCTTTGTTGAGCTGTTTGTATTTGGTTTGTAATCATAATAATGGGAAATGTTTTTGCTAGGACTTGTTTATAGCATATATTTTGTTGTTGCTGTTATCTACTGTGATTATGTGCAACAGAGACAAAGGGTTTACTACTATTGTTATTTCTAAAATGCCCTCGAGTCATCATTAGAACCCACCAAACTTGTTGAGACGCTAGTCAGGATAGCCTTGTGCCCGCTATTGCTACTTACCCTGTGCCCATTAATTATCAGATCATTGGAGAAATCTTATGTCTTTGGTCCATTGCCAGCAAATATAACTAACAAGAAGAAAAGATAAGTTCACCTCATATTTTGACTGAAACAGAGATCTACTTAACATGTTTGGTATTCTCCAAAACAAAAGGCAAAATGTGTTTTAATGAAAAATGCAAAGCATCACATATAATTACATGCGCAAAACGAGCTACTATAAGAGACTGCCCTAACTTCTCCCAAAATAAGAAAGCAGAGATGATTGCTTATCATCTGTATTCTTTACGCTTTTCACCTTTTTCTTCACTGGACTTGTTTGGTTGCTTTGTAAATTCTCGTGCTTCCTACGTCCCCGCTCCCCACTCTCGAGGAGAAATCCACTACACAGCCGGTTTGGAAGCCGGAACTTCGTCTACACAGCGATCCCACACGATCTCTCTCACTACACAGTTTGATCTCAACAGATCACTCCCTCACAGTAGATCTTACTCAAGATCTCAACTACACAGCACAAGATAACAGATGTAGAACTCTCTCTTACAAAGCCCCTATGGCAAAGAGAACAAATTACTGAAGCTGGGAGGTGAGCTCACACAAAACCACAGAGAAGAAAGCAAGACTGATTTGAAAATTTTCTCAGCAGAAACAGAAAATACTCTCTCTGGTTTTTCAAACGTTTTGCTCAAGGAAGAAGAAGCAGCAGTAGGGTTTTTATAGAATAGATTAAAACAATTTTAAAAACCAAACCCAATCTTCCTGTTTAGGAAGATAATCCCCTTTACAGAGTCTTAGCTCAGACTGAGCCAAGCACAAAAGAGTGAAAGCACGACAATCGAAAATAAAAATGACCGTTTTAAAAAATCTCGTGTTGACTGAAGGGAAAAAAGCGGTCGGCCGAAATATCGTTCGATCGACCGAAAATCACGTCGGTCGACCGACCGAAAATTTCGGTCGACCGTGAGCTGCTTCAGAAAAATAAGAAAACCAGCAGAAACACTGTCGGTCGACCGGATCGGTCGACCGATAAAAAATCGAGAATTCGGTCGACCGGCCCGGTCGACCGACAACCTCTCTGGAAACCAGTAAGAAAAGATGATATGTGCGGTCGACCGATCCGGTCGACCGCTTTCTGACATATGCTGGAAAACATGTTTTTGACCAAGTTAAAATATTTGTAGAATATTTATTTGACCTCTGAAAAATCTGAAACTTTGTAAAATGTTTTTGATACTAAAAACAAACTGTTTGAAGAAAGAATTTTGCAGATAGGTTCTCGTATTTGTGAAAAATAAGGTTTTGTGAAAACGGCTTAAAAGTTTAAGAAAGAAAACATGTGTGTAAATCCCAATAGCTTCATGTAAACATAGTGACTCTTTGCCTACATTCTAGCACTAGAGAGAAACATAAAAGAAAGCTAATATCCTCATATTTAAAGCAATACTTGAGCTTTGATTAGCTTGAATCGGATGAAGCTTTTATTCGAGTTTTTCGTTCTTGAATTAACGTTGCTTCATCTCTTGGCCTCCTCCTCCTTTGGATATTATCTTGTAGCATATATTCCATCCATCCTCCATTGATGGCACTAACGAGCTTGACAAATAGATTTACTACAATTTCACTCAATAAGCCATTAGTACCAATAATGGTGGTTGTAAGAACATCATCAAAACATAAGGGCTAACAACAAGAAATTTCAGGCTTTTTGCTATCCTCCTCCTCGTCGATGACTTTTTGCTCAACATCATCTGAACCTGGTTCTTCACTAGGCTTTTTGTTCTTGTTTGGATGATTTCAGTAATTCAGGCTCTGGTTCACATTTAACTTCAGATTTCTTTGTGAAGAACGTTGGTAACGGTTTTTCACCGGAAGCTATCAGTTGTATCTACAGTTCATAAAGCAGACAAGTAAGTTGGCCGTGGATTGCTTAAAAGGTAAATGGTATGAATCCTCTTAGTTTGTACTCTTCTTCCAACACTTCACTGATGAACGTCTTTCAAATTGTCTTTCCTTCGATGAACATCACTAAATCAGTGTGTTTTCTTGTAGGTATAAGTGTGTTTTTGGCATGGCATTGAACTGAAGTGCACCTATAGCATCTCATTAGTATCATATCATCAGCAGGACTGATGCATACCACCATCTTTATCATAAGTTACACATGGCTGAAACACATACAAATAGTTTTAAACCAGAACTGAGTGAAAAGCTCACCTCTTTACTACATATAGGCCCATCAAAGGATGGTTTACCTATTGCAGGCTCTCTCCGGGCCCCTGCCTCATCTTGATCAGCATATGAGGGGGCAACTTCTACTTGGTGTCAGCCAAGAGGTGATGGATGAACTTCCAGCTGAGTTGTTGTAAGCTACCGATGGACTTCTTCTCAAGAGCATTCTACCAGAGCTTGGCACTCCCCTAAAGGGCGATGGGGAAGCATCGACAGATGACTGCTTCCGATGCTTGGATCATGCTCATTAAGTCATAGTAGTTTTGAACATGCTCAGAGGGATCTCCCTCGCCCTTATACTTCCCCACGTGAGGCATCTTGAACTTCTCACATGGGGCATTCATGAGGTCATCTGAAAGAGGGGTATTCCCCGGATGGCTTCTGCAACTAGTCTGTACACCTGATCGTAGCCAGAGACCCCTATGGTAGCCGAGGGGGTTGGAGAGGCACAGTGATGGAGGAGAGTCTTAGAGACCACTCCCCTAGTACGGTCCCCAAGGTGACCAATGTCAGGACTCTCGCTAGTGATTTCTTCATGAGAGAAGACGTCAGCGAGACTCTCCGGGGCGAGTCGACCAACGAGGTGGTAGGGTCGCATACTCAACGCAATCCCCCAACTGTTTTGCAGCAGCATAAGGAGTCCGAGACGGGACTATTTGCTGTGCTTCGAAAGTAGAGTGAGTCTCTGAACGTTGGTCTCCAGAAGGTGGGGGAAGAGTTGAAGCAGCTTGCTGCGGCTGCGGAAGCCGGCTGAGAAGTTCGCTGGTGAAGGCAGTGCATTGCTCTTGGAGAGATTGAGAAATCTTCTTAGCCGTTTCTTCAAGCCGAGCTCGAGTAACATAGCTTTGGTGTGGTTCTACAGGGTGAAACTGATTAGACCCATGCTCAGGACCAGACATGTTTTCTCAAAAAAGAAAGATGCTCATGGTGGGCGCCAAATTGTTAATGTTAAGTGATCATATAGTCAATTAAATCTGTGGTTGGATGAGGGTGAAGTTAATGAGGGTCCGCTTCCTTCCCCGAATATCTAGTTCTGAGTTGAGTGGTTAAAGCCTGCACAAGTAGAAACTCATGAGAGGAAGGGGACTGGTTCCCCTGTGGTTCCTCCAACGATCAAGTCAACTGGTAAGCTTGAAAGGGGAAAGTGAAGAGCTGTGTGAGTTCTTGTGTGCGGTATAATTACCAGATATGGTTTAAAGTAGCTTAGATTTAGAACCTTTGAACCCTCTTTTATGTTAGAATAGTACATTTATTTATATCGATGGTATACGGATAGAACCGTCATTATGGTTGAACACAGGATGACAGTGAAGAAGTATGGACTGGCGGATGCTTCAGCTCTTGCTTTACAGGTGTCGGCTGACGACTGAGGGAGAGATCACTTTAGCATTAAATGAGAAGCGATTGGAGGCATGGCGGTGCCTACGTGGTCCGATGAGTCATGAAGACTATCGGGGCTAGAGGCATGATGCTCCTGCCATGTATTAAATATGATAATGACGTGTTGTCACTAGGAGAGGCTCGAGGCTGAAGTCATCTTTTGGCTTTGCCGAGAAGTAAGGCCTTTCGAGTCGACCTCGCAAGGCGTCGAGTAACTGATCGAGTGGGCTCCTTGCGAGTCGTCTTCGACAAGAGGATCGACAAGTATCGTCTTTCGAATAGACTTATGAAGATGTCGACTCGGCGAGTCGGCCAAGTCGGGATCCTTGCTGGTCTATGGCCGCCAACTTGATTGTGGTATTTGCATGTAGAAGTACACCCATCTTTTGCTTGCAAAGTGTTGCACTTAGGTGATTGAAAACACCATAACAATTGTATTCAACATAAATTTAAAAAGGTAAACAACAATGTCGTATACACCAGAACATAATTGTGTTGCTGAAAGAAAGAACAACAAAATGTAGTTAGATACATGTTGTCTCATTCTACTCTCTCTATTGAAATTTTTTTTTTTTTTGGGGGGGGGGGGGGAGTGNGGGAGCAGTATTGTTAACTGCAAACTACGTTTTGAATAGAATTCATATCAAGTCAACTGTATCTACACCTTATGAGTTATAAAATAGGAGGAAATCTAATATGAGTCATCTTAGGAAGTGTGGATCTATAGCCCGTGTTCTCATTCCATACGAACTTAGAAATAAGTTGGACTCTAAAACAGTTTAGTGTAGATTCATAGGGTACTCATAAAAATCAAAAGGGTATAAGTTCTATAATAAAAAAAGGGCTTATTGAAAGCAGAATTGCTACATTTTGAGAGAATCTAGAGGAAGAGGAACAAGCTCAAGAGGAAGCAGGGGCTCTAGCTATAATTGATGATGATTATTACAGTATTGTTCCCACTAATGATTCAGATATTGTGAATAAATATAACCTTAAAAATGGTAAAATATCTATGAAAAATAATGTACCCCATCAACCATTTGTAGGCAACAAAAGACCAAAAATACAACCTTCATGAATGGATGATTACTATATGTACTCATATGAGTCATCTTGTTTCTCAGTAGATACAAATATAAAAGGACAAGATGTCTTAATCTTCTCTGATGCGATGAAATTGCATGAATCAACTTTATGGCTAGAATCCATGAGAGAAGATCTTGATTCCATAGAAAAGAATAAGGTTTGGGAGTTATGTGATCTACCAGAAAAATATAAAAACTATAGAATGTAGTGAGTGCTTAAAAGGAAATATCGTGTTGATGAATCTATTGATAAATTCAAAGCACGGTTAGTTGCCAAATGTTATAACCATAATGCAGGAATAGGCTTACATGAGACATATTATCCTGCAGCAAAATTTACATCCATCAGAATTATTTTGGCTATCCTTGCATGTCTTGATTTAGAGTTATTCCAAATGGATATTAAAATAGCATTCCTTAACAGAGGGTTGAAGGAAGTGATATATATGCAACAACTGGAAGGTTTTTAGGTGAAAGGACATGAATATAAAGTTTACAAGTTAAAAAAAAAAAATCTCTGTATGGTTTAAAACAATCTTCTTGACAATGGTATCTCAGGTTATATGATGCAATCGCCAAACTTGATTTTGTTCAAAATAAATTAGATAATTGTGTATAAATCTTGAAAATTTAGAGCAAGTTTACTATATTACCCTTATATATGGATGGTATATTACTTGTCGGAAATAACATGGAAATATTGTACAAAAATAAGGTAGATCTCAGCGAAAAGTTTGAGATGAAAGACATGGGAGATGCATCATGTATTCTTAGAATTCAAATCATTTGAGATAGAAAGTCTAGAATGTTAATTTTAAACCAAGAAAAACATTTAAGATCCGATCTTAAAAGGTTTGAAATGTAGAATTTCAATTGGGCACTAACTTCATTGGTCATGGGAAAGAGATTGTGTAAAGAGTAAAACAGAATTCACGGGTTGAACCCCCATGAAGTTTGTTTTAAGAAATTAAATTTTACGGGAGTTGAACTCCCGTGAAGTTTAAAAATCTACTAAATTTTACGGGAGTTCAACTCTCGTGAAGTTTCAGAATTTTTTTTTTAAAAAACTGACCTGACGTCAGGACTGAAACCAGGTCGGTTTTTGAAAATAAATTTAAAATTGGTCTTTTTTTAAAAAAAATAAAAGTCCAAAAAGGACTGTTTTGAAAATTTGTCCCCTTTTTTAAACTTGGGAGGGGTTGATATATTTTTCCAAGAAACTAACTTCAATTCAAAATAAGATTTGTGTCCTAACCCATCTCTTTAAGCATCAACCCATCTTTCACTCTGTAACCATCTCCTTGTTTTTTCTGTGTAAATAACAGAGGTGATCAGATCTTGGGCGGCGTAAAAATATTCTTTTTTAAGGAGGTGGGGGATCAATTTATTTTTGTTTTCCATAGGTGACGGAAGCCCTTCCGTAAGCAAACCCGAATGTCGCTATATACGGACCGTGGCCTGCTCCGCCGAGCAAGGAGCTCCTCATCACTAACCAAGAAGGGAAAAGAAATCAATTTATTTAACCCCCACCCCTCCCCACCATAGATGACGGAAGCCCTTCCATCAGCGAAGAGCAGGATTAGGCTCGCTTTGTCAAAACGGTGGGGCCCGCCCTCCTCCCCGATGTCCTATATATAGACCGTGACCCGCTCCACCGAGCAAGGAGCTCCCCATCACCGACCCACCCACCCACCGCCCAACAGCGCCAGCGCCACAACACCAGCGATGACGTCATCAGCATCGGTTCCCCGGATCAGGCTGGGCTCCCAGGGGCTGGAGGTCTCGGCCCAGGGCCTCGGGTGCATGGGCATGTCCGCCTTCTACGGGCCCCCGAAGCCCGAGCCCGACATGATCGACCTGATCCGCTTCGCCGTCGACTCCGGCGTCACGTTCCTCGACACCTCCGACTTCTACGGCCCCTTCACCAACGAACTCCTCCTCGGAAAGGTTTTATAAATCTACTTTTTTTTTTTAAAAGAAAAAAGAAGTTCCATCGGTTCCTTTCGAGATCTTGGTATTTTCGTGAACTAAACGATAAATACATCAGTTTAATCCAATTTAACTTGAATCGGTGGCGTTTAATCAAGGCTTTGAATGGGGGAGTGAGGGAGAGGGTGGAGCTGGCGACCAAATTCGGGATAAAGACGGAGGGGGGCACGAGAGTGGTGCGTACGTGAGGGCTTCTTGCGAGGCGAGCTTGAAGAGGCTGGGCGTCGGCTGCATTGATCTCTACTACCAGCATCGCGTCGACACCCGAGTCCCCACCGAGATCACTGTGAGTTTCCCTTTTGTTTGGTCACTACTTTTTCTTTGCTTTCGCTGGTCTAGTTTTTTCCTCTGTTTGGTTGTTTTCCCCCAAAAAAAAAAAGGAAAATAGAAAACTTACATTTCACATGATTTCAAGACACATTTCCTAGATTTCTTTTTTCGTTCGTTTCGTAAAGAAATGAACGCCACGTCACCATCACGTCGCGTAAGAAACAAATCCAACCGCTGTTTTCAGCATTTAAATAATCTGTTTTAATCACCGATTTCCATTTCTTGTGCATAAAAAAACAGGAAATGGAAATGAGCCGCAATAGTAACCGTCTGTTTTATTCACCGCCACCGTTTCAACGGTGTTTCTAGTAATTAAAAATTCAATGAAGTGACATTTTCAAGTGTTTTCATAGGTTTTTGGGCTGAAAACGATTTTCTCAAAAAGCTGATGTGATATCCTACGTGGCACCCTCATTTTTTTAAATCACAAAACGAAACAAACGTGTGATTTGAAAATCGGTTGAAACCAAAATCCTATGTGGTGAGGGGGGGGGGGATTTTTTGAAATGTGACGTGGCGGAGGGTTTTCTCATTTTTATTAGGCAAACAAACAGGCCCTTAGGGTCCGTTTGGTTCATTTCCTAGAAACCTAAGTTTGGGAGATTACTCATGTGAAATAGGTTGTGGGACCAATTTTCATGATTTCAAGCTCATTTCACGACTTTTTGGGAGAATGGATTTCCTTAAATTTGAGACCCATGACATTATTATCTTACTAATGGGTGAGTCTCACATGCGCAACATCTCCTTTTTTTCCTCTCTCAACCAAACATAAGAAAAGTAAATCAAACATCTTCACATGGGTGTGTCAGGTGTTTGGATTTTCTTTTCTTAGTTTCTCAGCCAACCAAATAGCCTCTTAGATTCAGGTTTTACATATTGATGTCAAATGTCCCTATTGCACCAAAACTCTAATGTTGTGGTAAGCGTGTCGAGAGTTAGAGCTTTATACTCTTAACACGCTCCCTCGGGGTGAGAGCCATTTTTATTGGCCGAAATCTGGACTCATGTGGCAATATCAATTTGTTTTTTTATTTATTTATGTCCATATGAAAGCCGAAATTGAACCTGAGTAGCTCTAATACCATCTAAAAGGATCCTATCCTCACGCCAAATATCCGAAGCAGCGGTGATGATTGAGGATTATAGTTTTATACACTAACAATAGAAATCTATTACTATTATTTAAGAAAAGCTCTTTTTTGGTGTTCTACACTTATGTTAGTCACCCTTTGAAAATATTCCAATCACATCCCAAAAATTATACACATGACTTCCCATAATTTAGAACTTAGTAGAGGGACCAGTTTGAAAATCATAACAGCAATCTAATTCATAATTACCTCCCTATTTAGTGGTAACAAATTAAATTGGTTAGAAGAAAATTGCTATAATGTGCTCTTTTTAGAAGAGTATCGTCTTAGACCTTTTCTTTCTACATCTCTCCTTTCTTTGTTTCCTCTAAGCCTGTCGTTGATAAATGTAATCCACATCTGACAGATTGATTACTGCCCAAATCTGAAGGTTTCTTGTTACATGTATAGAAGATAGATTTATGTTCTTTATACTATAGTGTTCTCATGTTATTTTTTACATTATCAGATGGGAGAACTTAAGAAACTGGTTGAAGAGGGGAAAATAAAATACGTAGGATTATCTGAGGCCTCGCCGTCAACAATCAGGAGGGCACATGCTGTTCACCCTATAACTGCTGTCCAGCTCGAATGGTCGCTATGGTCAAGGGACGTGGAAGACGACATAATCCCAACTTGTAGGTAATTAAGAGCTCTCGTCTCTCCTGCAAATTTAATCATTTATATTCATTTAGGAAACCAATCGCATGAGTTTTCACCATTTACGTATTTTTCAGAGAGCTCGGAATAGGAATTGTGGCATACAGTCCTTTGGGGAGGGGCTTCCTATCTTCTGGACCTAAGTTGGTCGAAAATCTACCAGACGGGGATTTCAGAAAGGTATGTGTATTCCAAAAAGCTTATGAACTATTTTAACTACTCGGGTCTCATGCAGTAAGATGTGCTCTTGATAGTGAAATCAAAAGAACCAGATATAACTTTACTAGAATCACGTCTTTCGAACTGCTAATTGCTGTCAACTGAACCATGGGCTTCTGATTAGTCGTGTATCAACTTAGCCATGTTCTTTTACAACCTAATTAGAAAGCCAAGTAACTTGACCGGCATGTTTGAGGTGATCACTTTGAGGAGTGTCGCCTCCCCCTTCGTGCTTGCTTGGCCAGCTTACTATGGGCTTACCAAGGTTGATACAAACTGATGCACTCATTTGTGACTTGATGGGTAACTTCTGTCAAATACTAATGCATAGATTAAATTCACCAGCAATTCTTTATAAAAATGCATCTATAACTGTTTAAGTTCCTTTTAAAGTACATTTCTAGGCTCATTTCACATTTGTCATTCTGCCACACAAAAAAACTTACTATATATAATCGAGGAAAACGGGAGATATCATGGGAATGATGCTCCTAGTTTCTCATACACGACCTTACAATGTGACACACAAACTATTCCTATTGAAGGCGGTAAATTTGAAATTCTTAAACAGTTGGAACAATTGTTGTGGTTTTTTTAAAGAGGCATAGATGCATCCGCTAAGCTTGGGGTCTTGAGATCATGGCTCTGATAAAAGTGACCGTCTTATTTCTCATAATATGGAAGAATACAGGGTCTACGTATTTAGTCGATATCTCAATGAATACATAGACCGTATAATTCTAACTGTTCCCAAAACTAATAATGGACTTTTATTTGCCAGTACTTGCCGAGGTTACAGCCAGGGAATTTGGAGCAGAATATTACATTATTTGAAAGAGTTAGTGAGATGGCTTCAAGAAAAGGATGCACCCCTTCTCAACTAGCATTAGCCTGGGTTCACCACCAAGGAAATGATGTTTGCCCTATACCTGGAACTACTAAGATCGAGAACTTGAAACAAAACATAGGAGCACTCTCTGTTAAGCTGACAAAGGAAGAAATGGTACAGCTCGAATCTTTTGCTTCTGCTGATGCTGTTAAAGGCGATAGGTATCCTGCGATGATGCAGACTTGGAAGGATTCAGAGACCCCACCTCTTTCTTCATGGAAAAGTGAATAGAAAGTATTGCCTTCTAGTTTTCTATATCAAACCTTGCGTCCTGTTAGTTAGTAGTAAGGCAGCGCTAAGATTGTTGAGCCCTACTTTGCATGTGGTGTTGAATCAGAGTTGTGTATGAATTGTCAGAACTATCTTTGTTGAGCTGTTTGTATTTGGTTTGTAATCATAATAATGGGAAATGTTTTTGCTAGGACTTGTTTATAGCATATTGTGATTATGTGCAACAGAGACAAAGGGTTTACTACTATTGTTATTTCTAAAATGCCCTCGAGTCATCATTAGAACCCACCAAACTTGTTGAGACGCTAGTCAGGATAGCCTTGTGCCCGCTATTGCTACTTACCCTGTGCCCATTAATTATCAGATCATTGGGGAAATCTTATGTCTTTGGTCCATTGCCAGCAAATATAACTGACAAGAAGAAAAGAAAAGTTCACCTCATTTTTTGACTGAAACAGAGATCCACTTAACATGTTTGGTATTCTCCAAAACAAAAGGCGAAGTGTGTTTTAATGGAAAATGCAAAGCATCACATATAATTACATGCGCAAAACGAGCTACTATAAGAGACTGCCCTAACTTCTCCCAAAATAAGAAAGCAGAGATGATTGCTTATCATCTGTATTCTTTACGCTTTTCACCTTTTTCTTCACTGGACTTGTTTGGTTGCTTTGTAAATTCTCGTGCTTCGGTTGAGAAGGGTTCTCCATTTCCTCCAATCCTCTTTTGACACAAGAAATTTCAGGCTTTTTGTTATCCTCCTCCTCGTCGGTGACTTTTTGCTCAACATCATCTGAACCTGGTTCTTCCTTCAAATTGCAGGGATCATGTTCTTGTTTGGATGATTTCAGTAATTCAGGCTCTGGTTCGCATTTAACTTCAGATTTCTTTGTGAAGAACGTTGATAACGGTTTTTCACCGGTAGCTTTCAGCTGTATCCAAGTAAGCTGGCCGTGGATTGCTTAAAAGGTAAATGGTATGAATCCTCTTAGTTTGTACTCTTCTTCCAACACTTCACTGATGAACGTCTTTCAAATTGTCTTCCTTCAATAAATATCACTAAATCAGTGTGTTTTCTTGTAGGTAAAAGTGTGTTTTTGGCATGGCATTGAACTGAAGTGCACCTATAGCATATCATTAGTATCATATCATCAGCAGGACTGATGCATCCCACCATCTTTATCAGAAGTTACACATGGCTCAAACACATACAAATAGTTTTGGTAGTAAAAAGGGGAACCTTACATCAAGAAATAACAACAGTATACTAGTCACAAATATAGGTAGTTACGAATAATTATTATTATAAAACCTCAAGATTGACAAATTGGAAACACCCAGAAGAAATTTTCTAGGTAATAAAGCAATAATGACGAGATTACATTAGATACGTTGATTTTCGCAAAACTTCATTATATAATAAGTAGACATAAAAAAAGGGACTCGTGTACTTGCAGTTTGACATTCAACAAGAGACATAAGTGACATGATTCACTCAGCAAACTTAAAACTTGCAAGACTGAAAACTTACTAGATCAAGATCTTCACAAGGCCCAAGGACTGTTTCATGTTTGGCCATGGAATCATTTAACCAGAGATCAATTGAACCAGTGTCTCTTAAGATTACAGGCATTCTATCTGTGCAGTATACAAAAAAAAAATCATTAAATGTTCATAGTTAGACAACAAAAAAACAATTAAATGTTCTCCTGAATCCTGATTTCTTTAACCTCTTTATGTTAAAAAATATTTTCCTAATTTCTTTAACCTCTATATGTTAAAAAATTATTCTCCTGATTTCTTTACAGGCATTCATCTGTACAGTATACAAAAAAATAAGTAATGTTCATAGTTAGACAACTGTAACACAAGATGAATAATGTAAATACACAAATAGGTTAAAGAAATCAGGAGAATATTTCTAACATAAATAGACATAGGAAAGAGCAGTGGAAATAAAACTTTCTGATCTCCGCAGTTAACATCGATTAAACCAGTAAAAGCTACTAAGTAATCTGAAATTTTGAGATATGGCTCCACATGATGATGTGACATTTCTTCTTATGTATATCTACTTTCACACCGATGGTATAATGATAAACTATTACAAAAGCTACGAGGTTGATTACTTGACTGTCCTCCACCTATAGACGAGGTTCGGCAACTGCCTACGTCCTCGGGAGCCACACAGATAATTTCTTATTTAATCTAACAAGAAATTACAAATCAAGAGCAAATCTCTAAACTGAGATTTCTCAGATTGAACACTGTAGCTACAGTGTTAATAATCAAAGGGTATGAACCCTTTCAATTTCTCTCACAATAAAACCCCTCTTTCTTATTTAATCTCTCTCTCTTACAAATCCCCTTTAACAACCACTGTTGGAAGCTGAGATTAAGAGGGAAAATCGCCACTGCGATTTGGGGAAAACGCTGCTGCGTTTTAGGGCAGATCGCCGCCGCCGGAGAAGGAGAAATCGGAGGAGAGGGGGGGAGAATCAGCGCCGTTGGGTTTCCTTTTAAGGGCGGAGGAGGAGGAGGAGCTGGCGACAGCCTGTCGCCAGCGATAGCTTCGACGCCAAACTCGTGCGAACGCAGAGTTCACTTCGACGCCAGCTTCGCACGAACGCAGAGTTCGGACCCCCCCCCAAAACGCAAAGCTCGCCATCGACGCCATCTTCGAACGAACGCAGAGCTCGCCATCGCTGTGACGCAGAGTTCGCCATC